TAAGCAGAGTAGCTATAAGATTGTGCACAAAGGTCAGAAGCTACAGACAGTGGCGGCGGAGGAGACAACGTGAAGATGTAAACAATAGAAACCCATGAACGGCTGCGGATGTCTCAGGCTGACGCAAAACATTGTTGCGATAAAAATTAAGAGTGAGGTGCTGTCATCCTTGAACTCTAAGCTCTAAGCTGGGGTTGCATGAAAGTTTCGAGCAGCGCATGTGTTTTGCAGCGCTGGTGCGCACCCATGCGCGCGTGACGACGACATTATAGGAGTGACTATTGACCCCAGATCTGACCTTGTGTCTGATATAACAATGCAAGCAAAACCAAAGCTGCTGAAAACTGTCAGATACACTTCAAACATGCGGCGGACCTTCGGAAATATTTTTTGTGGAACAAATTTTCCCTGACTCCTAGCAAACGATCTCTGTTGAATATCTGGCATAAATTTAATAAACACCGTAAAATTGCAAAGCTGGCACTTCAATTTGATATTTGGCTTGCAAAGGTTCTTTTCATTACAGAACTTTGATGTTCCTGTAACATAAGCACGAGGGGCACACACTTCTGTCAAGTCCATTAGCCTAGTGCACTTTTCCAACAATACACACACATTGGTTCACTGAAAGGTCCGTCAAAAATCACTGTGTTGCCAAAACTGGCAAACCCTTATCAATTTTGAAAGTTGAGTGGCTGGACTAACTACTAAGAAGTACTGGGCGAACGAGAATTAAATTTAACATGCCAAAATCGATTGTACAATAGTGTCATCGGCGATTGATTTCAATAGGCGGGGTGACAAAAGAGTTAACTTGATCGCTACCGTGGGAAAAAAGGCCGTTTTACTTTGTGTAAATTTTTTTTGTGTGGCTAGATAATACCCTATTTTCATTATTTGGTACCAAACTGTAGCTAAAAGAGTGGTCTGTCCAGTAGCTTAAATGTAGTATATATATTTTTTACCATACACATAACTAAAAACTTTTTACCATACACATAACTAATTGAAAACTTTTCTGCAGTGATTATATAGTTAACACTTTCAAGATATTCAATTCGTAACTTCTTATGCTGCAAAAAAGGTTGTACAAGTTTCAAGAATTATTGCCAAAAACTCTTCTTTCGACCAAAAAGAAAGTTAGTGAGGGTGTGGCCGTAGATGGGTTATCCTGTGCAGCTTACCATCGTAGACTGGGTCGGTCTGCTCCAAGGTCGTAATACTTACAAAGGCAAGGAACGAACAAAAACGGCTTCTGCAATAATATTTAAAGAAATTGGGCCTAAAAATGGCTCTGAGGTATTCCAGTACTGATGAAGGCAAGGTAACTCAACGGTTTCCATGTACCGTATTTACTCTATTTTACCGTGCCCTCGATTGTAACGCGCACCCGGTTTCCACAACGAAAAAAAAAAAAAGTAAGACATCGATTGCAACGCGCACCCATTTTTCTCGTTGGCCCGCACGATCACATCACTCCGGAAAACGACTCCTTTCGGGAGCGTCTTCCGTTTAAATATGAGGTTTGGGGGAAGCTTGTGCCTATCTGACGTGCAACGGAGCATTGCCGTCACTCTAGTTTTACCGTGGCCCGATGTCAGCACGCGAAATTGCTTCGCCCCCTTCTTCTCGCGAGTTGTGGTGCCAGGCATGTCGAAGTAAAGAGGCATTTGATCGGCATTCCCGATTTGCCCAAGCAGGTAGCCGTTGTTGCGCCGCAAGTTTAGGACGAACCTCTGAAAACTGTGAAGCTTTTTTTCGTACTCCTCCGACAACTTTTGGCATATGCCCGTTCGCCTTCAGAGGGAAAAGCCTTTCCTCTTCATAAAGTTATTTAGCCAGCACCTGCTCGCTTTAAACTGGCTCGGCATTAGCCCTTTTTCTAAGGCTAACTGCATAGCCTGCACTTGGAGCAGCTCTGTCGTCAAGGGCCGCTGTGCCGCTCACTTCTCAATCTCATACTCGCCGAGCAGCTCTTCAATTTGCGGAAACCGACCCTGCTGTGGTCCACTGAAGCCTTTACGTGAATCTTTGCAGTCAACAATATTCTGCTTTTGTTTCCGCCAGTCCCGCACGCACATTTCGGGAACTCCGAACGACCGCGATGAGGCCTGATTTCCATCCGTTTCGGCACACGCGATGACTTTTCTTTTAAACGCGGCATCGTGGTGCACTCGTCAAGTTTTTGGAGTCAGCCCTTCCATGCCATCGATGCTAATGCACTACCAGATGACGAACTCCTCAGCACACGTACGAAGTGCCGCACATTGGAAACACATAGGCATAAATGGCCGACGCTCCATGCTGACGCACATAGAGGGCGGCCATTTTGGAAATGCCGATGGCAATAGAATGACCGTATTCATTTTTTTTCGTACTTGATTCTAACTTGCATGCAATTTATGAACTCGCTTAACCGGAAAAAAGGTGCGCGTTAGATTCGAGTAATTACGGTAAATGAGAATTCCAATGCACTTCATCAGGAGTGAAACTCTTCCACCAACCACCACTTTCTGTGTATGTCTGTCTCTAAAATATGTATCCACGCATATTTGTTGGTGTAGTCGCAGATCACCCTGATCAGCTGTGCAGTAAAAAACAGCTGTATGAAATTGACGGCCAGGAAGAAGCGCCATGAGTTACTCTGGAGTGCGCCTCCGACTTCGATCCCCTGGTTTCGTCTCGAAAGACACTGCACGTTGAGACCCTCAAAATGAATAAAGTTGCTGCCAAGTTGCACTTTACCGTCCGTAACTACTAATGAGACAACGAAATGGGCACCACACATGCAGCCGGCACTCACTCGCCGAATTTTGCTGCTTGACCCACTCATCCTAGTCATCGGGGTTGATATTTGATGCATCAACATTTTGTCCAGACTCGTTGCTGCTGATTCCATCTTCAATCTGCTGTTGATGCGCTAGATTCGCAAAAAACACGTCGTTTTTTTAGGGCCGTCCGCACGGAAGAAACACCCTATGATCGGCGAGCACACGCAGCTACCTGAAACTTCTTGAGGCGAGGAAAAAACTTCCATGAAGAAAAAAAAAAAACAAGACATCTCAGATTTCGTTGTGCATTCCCCACTTTCTTACGTTGTGCATTCCCCGGGCTCGTCTCATCTCCCTCCTTATCCGCCAGCTACTTCTCCACCCCCTGCAGCTTTTTCGGATGGTGACGCTCGTCCCGCGCATGTGCTCTTCTTGCCCTTCTCCTGCCGTGTGTGCTGCACATTAGGGCCCATAGGGCTGACACTGTGCAGGTGTATTTTGTCAATTTCCCGAATTCGTTAGGTGAGTGCTTATGACAGTGAAATTTCTGTAAAGTCTCCTGTTGGAGAAAGCGCAATTATGTCACATCATTTAGATTATTCCCAGGTGCAAGCATAGCTTGCTCGTCAAAGCTCAAAGTATTTAGTGAATAGAAAACGTATAGTTTCGTTTGTGGTACTTCGGCCCACATATTTTCTGAACACGAGTCTATGGCTAGTTGTTATCACATTAGCACCACTCAGCATATTTTCTTAGCACCTATTTCTTGGTGTATGCAATGAAAAAGATGGTCTTAATCACGTTAGCACCACTCAGCATATTTTCTTAGCACACATTTCTTGGTGTACGCAATGAAAAAGATGGTCTTGTTGTCCTGCAACACCATTTTCCCAACGAATCTTTTGTTCGGGCGGGAGTCTACCTACCCTAAGCTATAAAAGAACTCTCCACAGCTTCAACAAGTTTCACTAGTTATGAAGCCTTCCACCTTGAACTTTGAGAGATCTGCGTCACGAAATTGAGGAGTAATCGCCATCGTTTCTCTAAAGAGTGAGTACACGGCAGGCGCATAAAAAGGAGACAAGCGGCGGTAGAGTAGGCGAGTTAGTGCCGTGACGTCAAATCACCTCGACTGCAGTGACGCCAGTGTTCCTTCTCGGGGCTAATACTGTTCATACTGCTGCACACGCGAGCTCGGACCATCCCCATGAAGGGACGGCGAGCCCACGTGCACACAGAGAGGGAGAACCTCAGCGACACTTTCCAAATAACTAGTTTATTACGAGGAATTTAGTGCAATAAAACGTCAATCAATGTAACCTAATCATATGTAACATGATTATACAGGCATGCCAATTGAATAATACAAGTTACCCAATATATCAAATAGTGACGGCGAAGGGCGCCCTCTGAAAACGACCGTACAAAGAACGAACTTTGATGCGCCGACCTGCTCTTCAGCCAGCGCTCCCACGACCGCGCACCCCAGAGCATGAAGAATTAGCAGAATAGACACACATAGCAACAGTTGATGAGCGTACGGTGCACAATCTCAAGGTGCTGCTTCGGTACTTCGTGATCGCAGAAAGGAGCCCGCGCTTGCCATGGCCGGGCCGTGACGGGACTACTTAACTACCGGCTGGCGGTGAAGAACAACAAAGGACAAACGACCTGGTGGATCCGGAGGCCAAAACGCATACGCACCCTTCGACGTCCCGAAGTGGACTCCCCGAACTCTATCTTGCTAGCTTGTCGGGTGAGCGTGAGCAAGGCCCAAATCCTGCCAAAATTGGGCCAATTAAATTAGGCAATTAAAGTGTTAAACTTTAAGGGGCGGGGATGGTAGCGAAGTGACGGCGTTTTGTGACCAGCCGCCATCTGTCCGTTCAGGAGGAAAGGGGCATCAGAACTCTCCGAGGGTGAAAATGGCGTTGAGCGACTGCCACGGACGCCTGGATTTCCACAAGTGTAACCCTGTAACATCTAATTTGAAACTTGAAGTACATTGACCTAGAATAGATTATACTCAAACCTCATTATAACAAAGTTGTATCTTACACAAGAATAAGCTCACTATATCCGAAAATTTGTTATAACTGTTCATTTCTAACAATGTCTATTACAAGACTATTTTTTATTTACTTTGTTATATTGAGGTGTGAGTGTATATTGTCCTAGAATTAAACAAATACAGTGTCCGATGTTTATGTTGGTTTGGGTACCATTCAGGTGGTGGAAATTCTGCTGGCTCGTGGTGCCAACAAGGAGCATCGCAATGTGTCAGACTACACACCACTAAGCCTGGCTGCATCTGGAGGTTACGTGAACATCATCAAGCTCCTCCTGCAGCATGGTGCAGAGATCAATTCCCGTACGGGCAGCAAGCTGGGCATCTCGCCCCTCATGCTGGCCGCCATGAATGGTCATGTGGCGGCCGTGCGCCTCCTGTTAGACAACGGCAGTGACATCAATGCACAAATTGAGACGAACAAGAACACAGCCCTGACTCTAGCATGTTTCCAAGGTCGTCAGGAGGTGGTGGCACTGCTGGTGGACCGCAAGGCCAACGTGGAGCACCGTGCCAAGGTGGGTTACCCGAATTATTATCTGACTGAGGCGAACTTGGACTGGGTAAGGGACCTTAAATGACCATGCAACTATGTTTTTGAGCCCACCATGCGGTCAAACTCCATTTACTGTCGAACCCTCATACGACGAACCTGTGCGTGACGCGGCATTTGTTTGCTGAATCCCAAAGTTCGTAGTAAATGAAACATGGCTTTAAAACATTTGCAAGTTAAAACACCTTTTTTATTTTTGTAAATGGTTTCTAAGGCACGTGTTTCAAAGAGCAGAAGCGATTAGGGTGGTCTTGAGTTAACTTAAAGAGGGAAGAGGCACTTAGCCATCAGGCATCTTATTATTTAAGCTAGGGTGATGAAAACTTATGATGAGATGGTGTATTTACATGTGCACATGTCAAATATGAACTCAGTTTTTATGTACTTTTTACCATATTGTTTAAATTAGTCATTAATTAGTTTTGTTTGATCACTTTTTAAGTAAATTGGCTGTACAGATCTTGCTGAATTAAATGTCATTAGATTCTACAATTAGCAAAGAGTGGAAAAAGCAAGTTTCATGGCTCTAGCTTTCCTACAACAAAAGTTTATCCTTCCAGTATCAAGGAATGATAATTTTTGTATTTTATTTTTTCTAAAAAATTATGGTGTCCTATAGTTGCATATGACACTTTTTTGCTCTCACTGAGCATGAAAGGAGTCATGTCGGGGCATGAGAACAGCAGAAAAGGCGGCAAAGCCCGCGCAAATGCAGCAGGCTAGCCTCAATTCCCACATTCCCTCTCCTAAATTTGCCCTTTACTGGTCTGCAAAAGGCAACCGGACGTCACCCCTGCAGTTAAAATGACACTGCCATGAGGGACAGCTAACCTCCGTCCAGCCCTGTAACTACTGCTAAAAAAAAATATGACAAAGGAGAAAAAAACATTAATAACAAAATAAACACATGACGCTATGAAAATAATCGTGAAAGGGAGCACAGGAAAGTAGTAGTAGTGTTCGTGGTGCTTAAGCGGGATAGCGTCCCTCGCGTGGAGGGGCGGAAGAGGGTGACAATGTCCGCTGGTTGCGATGCCCGAGTGCGAGGTCAGAGGCACGGAATGGGGCTTTGGCTCGATTGCGGAGCTGGAACATCGCGGGAAGCCGGGCCTCACCGGGGATTAGGGAGGCCGAACCGGAATTGGCTGCGAGGCGCCCTAGCGTTGGCCGGCAGCATATAGCTGCTGTCAGCTCGCCTCGCGCAGGAGCTATGGTGGAAAAGGCAGCAGGGCTTCTCGTCGACGGCCAAGAGCTGAGTACAGCGTCAGTAGGTCAGTGCCCCGAGCACCTCTAGTGTCCACGTCGATGGGGCAAAGCCACGACGCGCACTCTTCACGGGCACGCACTGAAGCGTCACGCACTTACACACGCACAGAAGCACGCGCACACACACACCGCCGACGGCTCCGCGAGCGCAGGCACAAAGCGTCCTTCGTCTCTCTCCACGCATACGCACCGATACTCAAGGTCACAACTCCCTTTGCGGCAGATGAAATAAACACGAAAAGAACAAAGTAAAACAGACTAATATGACACTCAATCGTTGGCCAAAAGAAAATAAAAACCTAAAATACAAATAACGCTTAATATTAGACAAAAGAAACATAAAATACACGTGAACACTTTAAAAAGAAGCACTCGCAGCAAACAGGGCGGGGTCGACTTCTTTACGAGAAAAGGCCGTAAAGGAGCTAACTTATACTGAGGCTAGACGGTAAACTGAGGGCCTTCGGTTGCGGAGAAGTTCGTCGTCCGGCGCGAAATCACAAAGGTGACAAAGATTATACCGGTGCGGGGTACGATTGCGGTCCGCCGCTCCGGGCGTACTCGTTGCTTGCGCGAAGTGCCAGAAGGTGCTGGCGCGAGCTCGTCGTACCGTGACAAAGGGCTTCAGGTCTACGATGTGGGCACGGCTGAGTTTTCTCAAAGGGGATCTTTCAGCTAGTACGCACCACTAGCTAGTACGCACTACGGACCGGGCGGCTTTCCAACCCTTGGTTCAACCATTTGTCAGACGTGGCAGGCACGGAATAGCGATAAAAGTCACGCTTTGTGCCGGGCCAGGTCACAATGTTGCTCGGTCTGCGAAACTTTCGAGCTACTCAGGGGACCAGCCACGAGTTCGTCATGAGAGGGTCGCAACTGTGCGGCTCTCAGCCTTTTTTGGGCATAGCCACCTTAAACGGATCGATGGACTCGTCGTCAGTGGCTATATAGTTCAGCAGGAGCCCGTCATGGTCCAGCAAAAATGAATCCGCCGGGGGACTCAGTGACACATGCTGTTTCAGCCCCCTATTCGCGCCCGCCGCAGAACAAGCAGCATAACGGCGCTCCGCGCCTCTTCAAGACTGTTTATCGGCACCCGCCGCAGAGCAAGCAGCGTATATGGCAATCCGTCCCTCTGAGACTCGAAACATATTTTGCTGAGCCTTCAGTGACTCTTTCCTGCCGAAAGTGATTCCAATTCTCCCAAATGGGGGAGTCTGGTATGCCTCGATTCCCACGGTCTTCTCTAAGGGTCTCTTCTAAGCCTTTTTCAAGCGCAGTGAATTTTTCTCGGTTGCTCGTAGAATGGCCAGGTCACGTTCCATTGCCTGAAATTCTCGTTTCATCGCTGGCATAGCGCCGAGTTCTCTTTGAACAGCAGCTCGTTCTTGATCCGCCGCCTCTTTCTCTTCGCACGTCAGAAAGCGTGTTCGCAAGTGTACAGTCAACGACACGATCGCATTTTTGGAGGCCGATGAAACAGGGGATGTGGAAGCCCTTGTCCATGAGCGCGAGATACCAGGCGCACTTGCAACATCAAATTTTTGCACCGGTGGAGCAGGAGTCCCCTGTCTAGGCACGTCGATGCAACCACTCTTGAGATGAAGAAGCTGCTCCACATGTACTATAGGCACGATCACCGTTTGCGCACATGTGAGTGGAGAGCCCCAACATGCGGACAATCTTCATAGATCGCTTCCTTGCACCGGACACTTGTTGCATCTTCCTTTTCGTTGGACGCATCAGGAGCGAATGCAACAACGGTCGTAAAGACAGTTGAAAATCGTCTCGTGAAGACGTTTGAAAATCGTGTTGTGCAGGACTGGCGGTCTGGACTGTCCGTGCGCCTTTCTACTTACCAGCCGTGCAGCATACGCCAATCAGACAGTGCTGTTCTTTAAGGCTCTGCCTGAGAAGACAATCGTGTTTAAGGGAGACCCGTGCGTTGATAGAAAACGAAGTAAAGAGCACGTGACAGTACTTCTGGCTGCTAACCTGACCCGCACAGAGCGGCTGCCGCTGATGGTGATCGGGAAGGCTGCGAAGCCAAGATGTTGTTAGAATATTGTCACGGGGTCGTGACGTGGCCAAAGACAGGAAACTTCGTGTTGGGATTGAACTGTTTATTTGGGCGAACCTGTGCCCGGTAAAGGGAAAGTCTAATTAAAGCAGCAGTCTTGCACAGACAGCAGTCTCGGACTGATAGCGGCGAACGCAGCGTCGGCCTTCGATCAACAACTGACAAGCGGCGAAGCGCGTCGGCATTTATACCCTTGCCGTCGAATGTTCTAGCGTTATCGCTGGCGGTGGCGTAGGTTCCAGAACAATCTGTACTGTTCGCTCAGTGGGCTTGATCTTATCGAAATGATCTACTACAGTCCGGAACCTTCTCGAAACCTGCAGGCGCGGTTTGCGCCGAGAATCGTGTGGCGTTTCGGAACGATAACAAAACTTGTGAAATGGAACGTGGCAATATTAAGCAGCTGCCTGTCAACTACCGGTTCAACAGAAAGGTTTGGATGGCTGCCAAACTCTGTCAAGCCTGGCTGCGTCAGCTCAACCGCGGCTTGGCGGCCAAGGCTTGGAAGGTGTTGTTCGTTCTAGCCAACTGTAGTTTGTACACAAAGGTGTTAGGTACGAGAACATTGAACTGCTATTCCTGCCTTCTAACACAATGGCTTCCCTGCAGCTGATGGACCAGGGAATCATACAATTCGTGAAAAGTCGCTATCGACGGCAGGTACTTGAACAGATGTTGCTCTGCATGGAGTCAGGCAAGCAGTATAAAGTAAGCCTACTAAGTGCAATCCACATGCTCATACGTGTAGAATAACACGCCGCCTGCAGTAGTCACCAACTGCTTTAGGCATAGTGGCTTCGAGCACGACGCTGCTGATCCGGGTGTGGTTGCAGATGAGGAAACCGGCGAAGAGCAAGACAGCTGCTATGTAAGCGTCATGCCAGTTGATGTGCCCCTGGGCGATTACTTCGCAATTGACAGCGACGGTGCCGTGGCCGGCACAGTGACCGACAGCAATATCATCGCCGGTCTTGGATGGCGAAGGGGAATTGGCTGACGAAGACCTAAGTGATGCAGACGAGTGTCCACGCCACACAATAATGGAGGCTACGTTTGGGTTGGTCGTTTTGGAGGACATATCGATGGTTTCCTTGGACAGTGCGCACGGACTAAGCCACCTTCGGGAAATTCGCAATATGGTGACTTCGTCACACATTGTATCCGTGAAGCCAACCGCGGTCGCAGACTTTTTAAAAGAAAGAAAAGTCTGATGGTGTTGGAGACATTTTTTGAGTGTTTAGTTTGTACTCGCGCTAACTCGTACTCTTCGTTAATTCGGACATTCTTTCTGATCCCGTGAAGTCCGAATTAATGGGGTTTTACTGTTGGTGCCTGGCGAGACGTGAAGACGGACACAGTGGTGAACTGCTTCCGCAATGCAGGCTTTGAGATGGCGGAACTAGCGGAAACCGGTGAAGACAGCGACGACGAGCGGATAGACTGCGTTTTGTCAGTTGTCGCCCCTCTTTCCGGCAGCAGTTCCACACAAAGTGTCTGCAGTTCGCTTCCACGAAATCATCCGCAATGTTCAGGCCGTTGCGAGCCTCGCCGACAAGGACATAGTAGCTGCGGTCGCAGGGACCCAGGATGCCCAGGCCGACACCTCAAGTGACGAGGAGGATCGTCCAGATGAGACGCTGGCTACACGCGCGCACTCCACCGCCGAAGTGGCGGTAGCGTTTGCCGTTGTACCGGCATTTGCAGTCATTCGCCGTTGTATCGGCGACATGGAGAGAACCAGGCTGTCGCACCTGTACGGCCTTGATAAGATCAAGACTAGCGTCTTAAACTTCATTTCAAAAACCAAGAAGAAGGCCGAGATAAGCTATTTTTTTCTCACTCAAATATATCATTCTACTGCAGCGTGTGTGGAATTAGTTGTCATTCTTGAATGGGGCTTTTTGAAGGTGATGGTCCTTTACAGGTAAGCTCTCTGGGCCTGTATATTTCTATATAGACTTTTTCATATATCGAACTAATTCACGATCCCCTTCAAGTTCGATATATCAGTGTTCGATTGTAAACTGCACCATGCCTCCCAGGGAATCGTGCAAAATCCGTCCAACACAAGGTACTCACGTGCATCTTGCACTCCTTGTTGATGGCATTGCAATCTAATTTTTTTTTTTTGCATTTTGTGGCTTGGTGAGCTTCTTGGTGCTGCAAGTCTGGTACCGATTATGTGTGAAATTGTTGTTTCACTGCCCTTTATGTGGAACTGGAGTAGCGCTCGTTGAATTGAATACTCTGCAAGGCCACTCAAGCCTGAATCTAATCCCGTTTCTCTCTCCACATCGCAGACTGGGCTGACACCTTTGATGGAGGCTGCATCAGGCGGCTATGTGGAAGTGGGCCGGGTGTTGCTGGACAAAGGGGCGGATGTGAATGCGCCCCCTGTGCCATCATCCCGTGACACAGCTCTCACTATTGCCGCTGACAAGGGTCACTACGCCTTCGTTGAACTCCTCATCAAGCGGGGCGCTACTATTGATGTCAAGAACAAGAAAGGCAGCTCCCCCCTGTGGCTCGCCTGCAATGGCAAGTTCTCTAGTGTTTGCTCTATTTCAGCAATCTTTTTCTGCTTTACTAAAACACAGACTCTGCCTGTGCATAGTAAAATTCAAACGACACAATCATAGCTGGTCTGGAATTTAGCAAAGTTTTGGATCATATGAACCTGAATCATACGGAACGACCTATGATTCAGGGGGGACACGGCCTTGGGATCATGAAAAAAATGGCAAAAAACTCTATTTTCTGATAATCAAGTTTTCAGTTTTTGGAACCCTTTTGCAATCTAATTCCAAAATATTTACCCTGAAAACAGCACAGAAGTGCTTCGGAAATACTTCTGGAAATTGCGAGAAAACAGCGATTTTCGTAAAATCATAGCTTTGCGATGGCACGGCTGGGAGCCGGCTTCTTGGGCTCATCGGAAAGAGCATTTCTCCACCTGGCTCCTCTCTTTTAAAGCAAGCGCGAAAAAGGCAAGCGTTTGAAGGTGGTTCCGAGGCCCCTGATTAATATCACAAAATAACGCGATGAAAGCCAAAGATAGTTTTGCAACCATGCTAAACAGTTGCAAGCAGCGCGAGCGCGGATGATAATCAAAATTTGAAAGTCGTGCTTTGTACAGCAAAGCGCCCTCTGCGTAATGCAGAAGAAACCTCTTTGCTGATAGCGCCACACAAGCACAGCGGTACAAAAACAATGCGGGTGGCGTCCAAAATGGCGCTCGTGCTACGTCATGGAACACGCCGCGCGCTCGCCATCTTAGACCTATGCAAAGTGGAACTGTACCCACCGCGCCGATGGCACGTTGTACACCCGCAACGTCTGCCACAATGTTTGTGCGTCGCCATCCAGCGCTCCGTTTTTGTTGTTGGATTTGTCGTTTTGAACTTTGTTGGGACACCTGCTGCGCAGGGTGCGTTCAGCCGGTAGGCTAGCTACACGGCTGGTTACTATCAGCATTTGCTGAAGCATTGGACTAGAGCGATGAAACGACATTTTGGCGTTGATCCCTGCACTTTCGTTACGGGACGAAACAATAAAAGCTACGGGCTACAAAAAGATTTGTTCTGCATTTAACGGGTCAAAACAAGCAAACACGTCACCTGAAATTTTCGCTGCTATAACTCCCGTGATTTATTTCTTCCGCGTAATGAACCCTCCCCCTAAATTGGCGTTGACTTTTCTTAAAAAGAGGTGGGTTCATTACACGAGTAAATACGGTAGTCTGCTGCTTCTGCGTCACGAAGACATGGCTCTCGAAAATCGCTGATTGATTGATTGATATGTGGGGTTTAACGTCCCAAAACCACTATATGATTATGAGAGACGCCGTAGTGGAGGGCTCCGGAAATTTAGACCACCTGGGGTTCTTTAACGTGCGCCCAAATCTGAGCACACGGGCCTACAACATTTCCGCCTCCATCGGAAATGCAGCCGCCGCAGCCGGGATTTGAACCCGCGCCCTGCGGGTCTCTCGAAAATCGCTACTTCGTGACTTGTTCATGGCTCGACGATCACTTGGGATCTAATTACGGTTTAGTTAGGAGCTCTAAGTGGATGCACGATCAGATTACTACTAGCGGGCCCATATCCATGGCTAGCATCGAGCATAGTGAAGTACTTCGTTCGCCTAGGTTGGATACTACCCCGCAGGGGCGCCTGCGCAAGTAGGCGTTTGGTGTGTAGCGACACCACGGACCCGAGCTAACGGGGGAGTTTTGACTCTCTCCCACGCCTAGCCGTGCGTGGCTTTGCCGTGTCCGGGGAAAAGGGGATCCTGGGGGTTGAGCCAATGCTGGGTGATTGGACCTTTAAGGCCCCCCGGCAGAGGCAACACACCCCTTTGGCTCCGGCTTCACGTAGACGGCACCCCTGGGCTGACCCACCCAGGGGAAATCGGCAGTCGCCTTTTCCTATCTCTCTCTCCCTACATCTTCGTCTTTATCTCTCAGTATTTATCTGTCCTGTCTTCTACTCTCTTCTGTCTACTTCCAAACTTCCTGGCGGCTAGGGTTAACCCTGTGCAAATAGCCTACCTTGGTCTAGGCGCATTGGGTTATGGTAGCGTTGTACGACTGGCGTCTGCATAGAGCATTTCCCTTATTAAGTGATCGTACTGCCTTAAAGCGCGTACGCACCGAAGACTTAGGCTTTTTCAACCGATCAAATGAAAACTTCCCCCATTTTCATGTTATACATAGTGAGATAAGCAGCAAGCAAGCCAGAACTGTATCCCCTTTTGTAGTAGCCAGATGTCTCACAGAAACTCTTGGAGCCGGGTACAAAGTTACCAAAATGGCCAGCGGAGACCTCCTCCTTGAAGTTCGAGAAAAAGAACAGTTTGAAAAGCTACAGAATCTTTCAACTTTTGGTGACACTCCCATCACTGTAACGCCACACAGATCTATGAACACAACCCGTGGAGTAGTATCTGATGCTGATTTGCTCGGCTTGACCGAAGAGGAACTTCTGAAGGGGTGGAAGAGTCAGAATGTGACCAATGTACAAAGGATCATCATTAGAAGAGAGAACAAGGTAACACCAACAAAACACCTAATACTCACGTTCGCTTCCAGTAATCTGCCAGAAAGTATTCAAACAGGGTACACGAAGACGTCGATCAGACCATACATACCTAACCCACGTCGTCGTTTTAAATGCCAGAGGTATGGCCACGGCTCACAAAGCTGTCGTGGTCACCAAACTTGTGCACAATGTGGAGTGTCAGGCCATAATTCTGACAATTGCAAAGAACTATCACACTGTGTGAACTGAGGCGGAAATCATGCCGCATACTCACGGTCTTGCTCATTTTGGAAAAAAGAAAAAGAAATCATCACATTGAAAATGTGAACTGAGGCGGAAATCATGCCGCATACTCACGGTCTTGCTCATTTTGGAAAAAAGAAAAAGAAATCATCCCATTGAAAATTAAAGAATATATCACATTCAAGGAAGCAAGACGAAGAGTGTCGCCATTTTACGGCGCTACATATGCTGATGCGGCGCGTCAGGGGGCAACGCCGCACCAGCCCTCGCCACTCCTTCGGCCAGCACAGAGCGAGCCGCCGGCTGTGGCGCCTGCCCCCAAGGCGGCAGTAGTTCAGTCTACTCAGTCTCCTAGCGAATTGAGGCCAAAGACTCCAGGGTCCTCTGGTCTCAAGGCCTCCCCTCACCGGGCGAGGCCTAAAATCCGAACCACCAGCTCGCACGTGCGGGCACCCAGTGCCTCTGAGGAGGCAATGGATACAACGGTATCCTTCGTACCAAAAGTGCGGCGAGGCTCCTTGGAGCGCGCCAAAAAAAATAAAAAACCAATAACGGTGTCGGACGACCGTCCTGCCACCTGAATTAACGAGCTCACTCCAACACAGGGTACTCTTTGTACACACAGCAGCATCTCTCTTGTTTAAATATGCAGACAGAAATACCGTATTTACACGATTGTAAGACGACCCTTTTTTTCAAATTTGACAATCCAATGTTGGGGGGTCGTCTTAGAATCGAAATCGAACCATATGTATTGTCATCTCGAATAGTTTCTCGCTCAACCCAAAGCGCATAGTTTTCCGCGTGCTTATACAAAAGCTTTTCTTTTTTTAGCATCTACTGCGCGCATTACGAGTGCCTTTATGACGAGCGCACGGCTCTTGAGGGAGCACCGGTAATCAATGGAAGAGCCGCCGTAGGGGGGGTATTGGTAGTTGACGGAACAGCTCCTCTTTGTGATACAATTTTCTAAGCGGGTGCGTCGCCGCGTACTCCTGTCGCTTGTGTCCACGACCGGCTCTCTCGAGTCACTTCTGTCTGACATGAGTGCCGTGACATGAGGACGAAAGTTCGGAATCGGTGAATGTGTGGTGCGGAAGTGGCGGCTTCAGCGCAAGGAAATTTTCTCGTGCGACTCCAAGCGCCGTGGCTTTTGCGGGCCGAAGTCTGGCCGCTTTCCGGAACTAAAGGCGAAGCTTGCGGCCTACGTGAGGTTTTTTTTTTGAGATGCGATTTTGGGGGGGTCGTCTTATATTCGAGTCGTCTTACAATCGGGTAAATACGGTATTACAGTGGAACATCCGAGGCCTTCTTCGAAACCTCGATGACTTACAAGAACTCCTCCATGAACACAATCCAAGAGTGCTGTGTGTACAAGAGACACACTTAAGGGGAGATCAGAGTCAAAAAATCGCGTTTTTAGCGAAATTTCTCGTATTTCTGATTTTTATTGCATTGTAATCTTCAAACCTTCTTCTTTCATCTGTGAAAATTTCAAAACTAAATTCGAACCGCAAAATGCAAAAAAATGTGTATGAAGGCATCGCGGTGGCTCAAAATTTCGTGAATTTGCGTCGATATTGGCCATCTTTGACTGCGCGCTGCTCCCCGTCGCAGTGCCGCCCGCCATCGCGATCGATTGGGAAAGTTGCGTCCGGCCTTCTTCTTACAGCTCCGACGACCGCCAGTTTCGTACGTGGGCAAAAAAATAAATTAAAAAACGAGGCCTTTTTATCACGTAGTTTGAGCGGTTTGAAACGCGCGGCACCCTAAGCCGCATCTCTATTGGCTACCGAGTCATTGTCAGCTGTGTTGGTGGCGGCCATTGGCATTCGGTCCGTCTGCTTTTTTGCGCGCCTTGCATATTTCCGCGATGACAAGCCCGAAAAAGTGCAACGTGAGACCGCAGAAGTTTCGAACGAAGCACAAGTTCAAGGGAAGGCGGCGTAAAGCGCCCCAAACAACGGCGACGAACGAGAACGCGCTACGTGTGCTAGGCCTGACGGCGGCATCGACGAGTGCGCGAGCGACAGTGGCTGCGATGAAGGGATTGACGCTGCGCTTCCTTTCGTCAGTGCTTCGGAAAAGAAGCTCGGCTTCTTCGAAAAAGACGAAAGACAGCGCGACGAGGTTTGTGCAACGACAGTTTTGCGCGACACCCTCTTGCTGACGGCACTTGTGGCAGGTGCGGCATGCCCTGCTTGCGGTATTCAAAAACTTGCCGTTCGGGAGCCGGCAGAAAAGCGCAAGGGACT